TCTCATGCGTCGTTCCACAAATGTGGAATGACCTTCCAAGCACTACCAGAACAGGGGCTTCCTTTGCAATTTTCAAGAAACTCCTGAAGACCCTGCTCTTCAGAGAGCATCTTCTTAACTATCACCCTCCCTGCACCCATCCCCCTCTCTACTGTCCACTCCTTGTTCCCTCCTCTCCATGATTGATGTCAAGTTGTTGCTGTTATTGTTGTTGTTAGCCTCAAGGGCAACATGCCGATTATCACTTGTAAGTCGCTTTGGACAAAGCGTCTGCTGAATACATAAACATAAACATAATTTCATGGAACTGCAAACTCTCACTGGATCTCTTACCTGTGTGCACCACACTTGACTGAATAAAGAATGATGCTAATCCTGTTCCTGTTGCTGATAATTGACTCCAATTTATATTCAAGAATAAAACACTGGAAAATAATCAATGAATAACGATAATACATGTTGCTTTAGTGGAAACGATGATCATATTGAATGTACAAGAACTCGGGTGTTTTGGAGCAACTTTCTAGACTGGATACAACTTCTGATTGAAATCCATCTTCCATCTCACAAGACTAAGGGTGTTTTTCAATGTCAAGGTGACTAGCCTTGCGAGGCGATGTCTTGCGAGGCCAGGCGCCTTGTTTACGAGGGCACTGTCCTTCCATGGTCAGAGAAAACGGTTAAATGGAACAGACTTGCGTCACGTGGCCGCGGTTTCAACAGCGGTCATGTAACGCCACGTGACAGGGGAGACAACATTACATTTATACGTATAAGTGTCAATATAAATATATAATGAGCGTTTTACTTTTTAAATTGTGTAAATGTTTATTAAATAAAAAAATATACGTGAGTTACTACCCGCTAGCCACCGAAGCTGCAGCTACTAAGCAACTAACCAACCATAGATAAATTCTTTGGATCTAAAAAAAAAAAACATTTTAAATTAGCTGACTTACTTTTAAACTAGAAATTTGTCCCTGAAGTTGCTGCCGGCTTCTGATTCGCTGTCCTTTTGAAAATACCGCGGTGTATTGTGGGTAATTTTTGACCAAGGCTAGGCTACAAGACACCTCCGGTGTATCCTTGCTCAGCTAGCTAAATGGCTAACAAACACGCCTTGGTAGAACATGAACATTGGAACACCTCTTGGCGGTTCCTGATGACGTATCTCCTAGGCAACTGGGGCGGGGCCAAGACATCAAGGTGAGGTTCCTTGGCATTGAGAAAAACCCTGTGTCACTTTTGGAACTCTTCTTCAAGACAAGAACAAAGAGCAGTACTTTAATTTAGTCCTCTCTCTTGCCATATTTTTCAACAATTAATGCTTAATATCTCCAAACTTTAAACACTTTACAAGTTCAGACGAGTAGAGAAATGGCCATTTTGTAATTTGTTGTGCTTTAAACCCTCAGATGTATAAATAACAAATGATTTGTATTAAGTTCTAAAATCTTAAACCATAAACTGTGGTTCCTGTGGTATTGTACTTCAACTAAAGTCAAACAAATTTACTCATGCACTCTCTCACACACACACACACACAAACACACACACACACACACACACACACACACACACACACACACACACACACACACACACACACACACACACACACACACACACTTGTGTGTGTATTAATATTTTCAAACATCAGCCACACTGTGTGCTTTGAATCCAAGTCTGTGTTTGTCTTCATTTCCTAGGTGTGTGTATTTTTGTACACACACCAAAACTAACAGGGTATTTGTACTTTTCATTTTGTTTTCCAACCATGTCTCCTTCATACTCCCCATCTTCGCCCGGCTGACTACGATACTGATCAGCAGCTCCCTGATAAAGCGACAGCGCTGACTGCAATACGTGTTTATGAATTGCTAATGGAGCTATTTATCATGCCGTACGACACTGTGTACCATATTGAAAGTCACGCTTAGTGGTTTTACATTTAGAAGGTGAAAATTTAAATGCAATTGACTGTATCGTGTCACTTTAATGTATGTAAGATTAATACAGTGATGGTGCTCTCCTCCCATAAACTCATCAGGAACCACAACTAATGCTGCAAATTTGTTTTTATATTTAGTTTTCATCAAAGTGATGGAGCAAAAACGTGAACATGTTTCCCTTTAGATCAGGATTAGGTTTGTGTAACGATTTGTAAGTGGTTACTTTTAATAAATTATAATATTAATGTTTTCAATAAAATGTAATATTCAATGAAAATATGGATTGTCAATATTATTGAGCCTCTAATATTTGATTGATGATTAAACTAGGTACTTTGGGTAGTGCCAGGTTACATAGTACCATATTAACATTAATATGTTAATACACTGATAATATGTGAATGTAACTGAAGATAAACCATTAATGAAATCACTAAGTAGACTAATTTCGTGTACTTAAGTCATGAAATAATAAACATTTATGTTGATCAATTAATATTTATTAAATCACTTTATATAGAACGTTAATTGTAGATAACACAGAATATGATTGTAAACCTGTAGAGTGAAAAAAAATAATTTTATTCTAAAGAGTAAAAGTGTCTTCTTTTGCATGGAATCTTGGAGTTGCAGCTCAGATAAGGGAGTTAGGAGAAGGAATTTATTAAGGCTTAGTTTCCAGATGGTGCCACATGGAATGGTTTTGGTACAGGGAAGAACACAACATTCCTAGTAGGAAGGCTGCTGGACGCCTGACTGTCTATTTGGCCTCTGACATTGTTGTGGACAAATAACCTTGTTGGCCTTTCTCAACGTTACATTTGGAATGATTAACGTCTTGATAGCTCTAAAATAAAAACAGAAGAGAAGAGGAATATCGGACTGAACTCTCTCCTTATAAGATGAAATCTGTTCCTGGAAAGACAAAAATGTCCCTACACCAAGATAAATTATTCCTAGGAGTCATAGCTCGCAAGCATGTTCTCAGTCCTGAAGAGTTTAAATCAGGCAGATGCAAATTATTAAAAACTCCCATTATAATTTCATTATTTCATACATTTTAAATCAGTCAAGTTAAAGCTAAAAAAGTTCAACAGATTTTAGGATCAGTTACGTGACTTCTGAACACTTTATTTTGTATGCAGAATTTAAAATAACCATTCCTTCCAACAAAGTAATGATGTGAATGGAAATATTTCTGTTTTGGTCAGTTTTGTTACTTGTTTATTTAAATAAACAATTGAATTTGTGGCTGCAGCTTAATGAAATAAAACAATATTGATACAGAAGAAATTCCAAACATTTTGACCCAGCTGATTTGCCTATACAGTTTTGGAAAACCATATTTTTTATCTTATCCTCCAAGTTATCTAATTTCCAAAGTCTCAGTCAGTAAATAATGGAGGAATTTGTCTTTTAAACAATTTAGTGTATTTTTATAAAATCAGATTGCTGTAGAATATTTCTGAAAACTTATTGAACTAAATATACTATTTCTGATCAAATATAGATTTTCATAAAATGTTTGAATATTTTATATTTGAGGATCTGCTTCAATATCGTCTTCCTCCCGTTCATCATTTCTGATGGTGAGATTGGTTGGGGCAATAAATGTCCTCCACAATTTTCCAGAGAAATTTTTGTTTAAAACTACAAAATATATTCAGTATCATAAGTGTTATCATCACTGTTACCATGAATATTAAGATTATGTCTAAAAAACAACAGATTTTACCTAAAAATCTTCATAATTTCTTTTACTTGTTCAAGGCATATATGTTCAAATATGTCAGATTTGACTTTCATGATAAGATTTCACCAACTTCATTGGCACATTTACAACACATGTATCTTTATTTAGCACAACAAGTCAACCTAGTCATATGTATGGTCCTACTCAACCTCTCCGCTCTGCAGAGAAAGATCTATTGGTCGAGCCCAGGTTTAACTGCAAGTCTCGAGGGGAGCGAGCCTTTGCAACTCTTGCCCCAAGACTGTGGAACAAACTCCCATTAGACATTTAACAGTCGTCTGGAATTTTAAAGCTAAATTGAATGCAATATTACAAATCTAGTATTCTTTTGGTTTTATTGTTATTTTCTGGTAATATTCTTGGAATGTTTTTATTTATTTTTATTGTTTTTAGGCATTATGTGCATTTTGATTTTATTGTTTTAGTATTTTTATGTCTTATGACATCCATTTTTAGTATGGTCTTATTGTTGTCTCTTATTGTAATGTATATGATTTATGATTTAATCATGTATTGCACTTTAGGCAGCCTTGGCTGGCAGCATTATGGTGCTTTATAAATAAATAAATGAAATAAAATGAACCTTGTGATGTGAGAATTTCATAAACCTAGCATTGTTATTCCATCTTTTAGTTCTTTTACGGCAAGATGTTAGCGTTGCTAGTTTTAGAGATCTGACCGTAAACACGATAGAAGACCGAGGCGTTTTCTGGCTCTGCAGACACACCAGTATTTGGCGTGTTATAGCCTCAAACTGATGGCTGGAATGGCGTCATGGCGCAAACCGTGACTAGCTTGATCTCTGATGATTGTTTGGATAAAATCCCGTAATCGTGAGAGTTTGTGAAAAGGCACTCCAACGTCATTTACGATGTGAGTGGAAGTGTCTAAATATAGACGTTGGCCCTATAAAGGGTTAACTTTATTTTGTTACATTTTCATTGTCAAGAACACAAAGGTGGAAATATTCTCACCCATGTCTGACAAATAATATTGTGAGCATGGTTCAACTGTCTATTTTGTTAAATCAGGCTGTGCAGCATCGCATCACCAGTAAGCCGCTCTTTCGCTGAACTCTGAATGTACACTTCCTGGAAATTTTAATGGAAGCTGTCAAGAAAAAGCTGTTTTTTAGCTTTGATTAAAAAATACATGAATACTCTGTGTGACCGTAACTGTATTCAATTCAAAATAATTTAAATAATAAAAATGCCTTGTTGACTTTCATGTCGGCTTTTTGAAACCTAGTGTGCAGAATTCTGTCTAATCAAGTTAAAACTCTTTTTATTTTCCAGCTTAGCGGCGTCCAAAGAAGCTGCGGCGAGGAAAGCTGCCTCCCCGATGCCTCCTTCAGAGTTTCTGGACAAACTCATGGGCAAGGTTTCAGGTTACGATGCCAGAATCCGACCAAATTTTAAAGGTAGGAGATGCCACCAAGACTCAGTGGGATAAGGCAGGAATGTAGCCAAAGATTGCCCAGAAAACATGTGTTGTGTCTGCATCCGATTAATGTCTCTAAATGCATTTTAGCAAAGACTCCCTCCAGTTAAAGGTTTGTATGTTCCGTTTTGACTGAGAAAAAAAATAAGTCTAACGTGCATAAGTGTTGCTCAACTCATGTGCTCATTGTTTAACAATTTCAGTGTTTTTGGTTTGTTCTCAATCTCTTGATCTCTTTTGTTTGCCCTTTGCAGTTTGGAACAAAGGTAATTCTGCACAACGCTCAAATTGCTAAAAAAAATAGAATTTCTGGTGTTAGACCTCATTTTGCTTTATTTTTTTAACACAAATTCCCAGTCCTGCACTTTAAGCTCAAATAAAATGGCACAAACAGCATCCCCGTCAACACGTTTCAGGATGTGTAGTTGTCATGATGCTAGTTGGCTACATTCCTTGGTATCCACACAGTATCCTGAGTGCTTGTTTGGTGGTCAAGGTAATGCGCCTCCCTCCTGCCAGCGTGCTGCTGAACATGATCTCATATTGACGATGCTGCTGATGATAATCAATTATTCTATAGCGACCTCTCCCTGAATGTTAGCCCCCTATAAAGACACATGTCAGAGGTTTCTCTAACAAACTGTCTCTCATTAGGAACACATTATATCAACTTTTCCATCCTCAGAGAACTGAAGAAACTCCATATCCATCAAACTGCATGAAAAATGCAACTTGTGATTAAATCATTTGAGGAGTTATGGGCAGAAAAGAAGCAGGCTGAAATTTCATGAAAATTATTTTATTAGAAGCTTTTAAATATTCATTTATTTCCTCTAAGGACCTAAAATGTGCATAGAAGTTATTTAATAAAGACTTCTCAAGTCGATATCAATCTTATTTGTTGTTTTAGTGAAATTACTTGCCTGAATTTATTTATATTTATCATCTATTATGTATATTTGTTCAACCACAAGTGTCCATCTCAAAGGATTGATGAAACCCAGGAATTAAGATCAAAATTTGAACCTTTAGGCCAGTATCTCATTGAGCTGCAGCTGTTGGCGATTAGTCAGTCATTTTCAAGACAGTGAGTAAATGTTCATTTAGAATCACACTGAAGTGGTATGTTCAGCCCTTTTTCAAGTAGAGTGCTGCCACATATGAATTTATTGTAACCATTTTGGGACTCCTGAGCACTTTTTAGCTGTAATTCAGTCCAAAATATGTTATTCACGGCACAGATTTATACTCTCAAAATGTTCTCTCACTTCTCTCACTTTCTGAGTTGGATAATAAACAGAGAAGAGTTTAGGATGATGATTTTATTTTTTGAGAAATTAGATTAAGCAATTTTTTTGAGGCTAGTGTTTTCAATATGTCGCTAACAGTTACAGCTCAGCATAAAACTGGCTTTAGTTCTTTTTTGTTATTTTGTGTGATATTTACTTTAGTAGCACAGGTTAGCATGGAGTTCAGAGCAGAACCATCCAGTCTTCGTCATCCATGTCATGATCCTGTAGGTTTTAGTTGATGTTCTCTGCTCTGACATGCCTGACTCAGTGGTTTGTGTGTCTTCTAGTTCTACAGAATTCTGTTTATCACTCTTTCAGTCATTTCAGATGTGTAGGGAAACATCTAAAACATGCAGGATAGTGGCCCTCAAGGGTCAGAATTGAACACCTAAATGTCACAAGTCCTTGAACTTTTGCTTCATCTTATTCTTTTACATTTTCCTACTGTTTCTTCCCCCTAGAGAAGTGAAATACATGCGTCCACGCATCTTGTTTACCGCTGATTATTACGAGACAGAGAACCATTGATGGGTGGTCCTTTTCTCCTAAATGCTGCCGTGGACTTTTCCTTTCCTCTGAACTCATTATGTTACATCCCATTATATGGTGATCTGTGAGATATTTCAGCTAATGCCAGACTGAATTGCAGGAGTCTTAGCGTGACTAAGTGTCTATTATTAATCCTGCAGTGGCTGCAAAACAGCTGAAAACCCCAGACGTGCTCAGAATTTACTCCAGTGTTTGTTGGGAGTCCATTTAGAAGAACGTCTCTGGTTTTTAAATGTGATTCTCTTTGGCCCAGGTTTGCATCAGTCCAGTGTGATTTACTGAAGCCACTGCTGCACTGACCTTTTTTAAAGATCAGGTTTTAAATAAGAAGGTATTTGAATTTACTGCTTTGGTGTTTTTCATTTTTCTAATGTGATGTCATAAAAAGTTTAATACAAATGAAAGTGCTCTGGCTTTATGTGCATGGAATAATAATAATCCCACCGCTGATAACAGTTATAGTAATCAATGATTAGGCATTTCTGGAATGTTATTAGAAAGCATTTCTAAAACAAAGACCTTATTTCATAGCTACGGATTTTAATGACTGGCTGCTCATTTCTAGTTGAGCTCTTAGTTTATTGCATCAGTGACTGTCAGCAGGTGGCGCTTGATGAGAATTTCCAGACTGTCAAGGCTGTCAACAGAGTAGAAGAGCATGAACTTTGAGTTCTTCAGTTTATTGGGTAAATTGTTTGTGTCCCCTCTCCTCTAAAAGATAAACAAACAATTTTAAATAAAGGTTGGCAGCTTTGCTTCTCAAAACCTCATGAGGAAAACATAATTCACAGCATATGGTTCCGTCTGAAACAAGGTCTCCTAAAGCTCAACACATTTGAATAATTTCTCAGTCAGCAAATTGTGAAAAAATAATACAAAAGCATCAATATGCATTAGACTGAGGAGATATTGAAAATATTGGAACAGCAACACTGAAATAAATATAAAATGCTTATCTTAGGAAAAAGTTAATGCTGCTGTTATGCAGAAACATAAAAAATAATAACTTTTTTATTAAAGAAAATGGAGAAGCTAAGTAGCTAGTCTTCCACTTGACAATAAGCTGAAGCTGGAAAGCAGCATGAACCCAAATCACAATAAGTGTAGAAAACTGAAAAGTCTTGTTTTGGGACCGAAGAGAAGTCACACCCACAGAAACCTTTGAAAATCAGTAAATGATAAAATAAATAAAGTTTATTTTGTTCAAAGTATTTTTAAGTTAACAACAAAGTGTCCCAAAAGTTATATCTTTATGGTGATCGAAAAGTTATTAGCACGTAGAGAAAAAATATGGCTTACAACACAGAACATTTGTCAAATGCATGTTTCAGTGTCAATTTGCATTCACACCATGGGATTTTGTTGGAAACTCACGGCTTCACGGACATATTTTACTTATATATGCAAAACAAAACACTCCAAATTAGGAATAAAATAAAACTTACTTGTCACCGACACAAAATAAAAGTGACAATGCAAAAATACTGTGGAGTAACACTGAATTGGTCCTTAGAGTATGGGATTAGATTTGTGCCAATAGGATCAAGAAAAAACACTTTGGAGATCAAACAAAAATTAAGAAATTGACAGAACAAAAATATTGACTAATGGAAAAAAAATGTTTTAAAAGTAAAACTTACGATCTGAATCAACTTCTTAAAATGAGTAATAAAATATGTTTCCTTTTTCTGTTTGCCCCTATGTATTTTTGTTATCAAATGCCTTTGTTTCATTCTTGCCTCTCAGAGCTTTGCTCACTACCAGATTTGCACTTACACTTTTGGCTTTCTCTGTTGCAATCCCTGAGTTTTTGGTTGCAATTCTGACACAACTCTTTCAGCAGGGTGGGACTTCTGAGAAGTCCTCTCCCATAGGACAGTGTTTTCTCTTGAGTGACAGTTCAGTGACCCGGAAGTGATGTAGCCTCCAAAATTTTTCTTTTCCCACCTCGGTCAACAACATGAATTTTGAGCCCCAAACACGTTATTTCTGCTGTCTGTAGTGTCTACTGAGGATCTAAAGTGAGTATTGATAATATATTTTATCTTTTCTTAGGCACTCTTAGTTAATCTGTAAGTTAAGCCACTTTTTAAGTTGGCTTTAACCAGACATTAGCTCACTAGCTAGCTGCTAAGCTAGCCTCCAGGACAATGCTCTATTGCTGCAGAGAGTGTTGGGTATTTTCTTTAATCAATTCAGGCGTACCTCAAAGGAAGTCCAACACACACAAGGGGGTTAGAGATATTAGGTTTTAGGTTATCAATACCATTTACCAATAAACACCAATAATCAACAACCAGATTTAGCAAAATCGGAGAGAAGGAAGATACACAACAATGGGATGTCGGTTCGGTCTCTTGACGAGCAGAAGATCGCAAAAAGGTTTCATTCAAAAGTGACATAGCACACACACATTAAAGATAAACACACCCACCCCCTTCACAGAAAGCAAACTTTCCCAGGTTCTTGGTATAACAGAGAAACGTGCCGTCTGGACTTCATTAGGGAGCTTTTTGTGATAACAGATCTGCAGACTTACAAGGCCGAACTTCCCTGCCGGAGGCGCGGAATAATAATATGAACAAGGAATGAATCTTCGTTTGAATTAAAAAACACCAGATGGTACCCAGACAAAATAATTTCCATACATCCAATACTATTTTTATCCAACATCCCCCCCCCCCCCCATTCAAACGAAGTTCATCCGAACAAACTGGTATAATAAAAACAATAACAACAATCCTGTGATCATGGGTAATGGTCACAGAAACTGCAGTTTACACTGTAGAAATCGTAATGAAAGTAGCTTCATTAGGAAAAATATGAACTAAGGCATCCGTCATGAGCTTGTCAACCATTCTCTTACCTCAAACAAGGCTTAAACACAGCTTAAAACTAAGCAAGCATGACCATGATAAAGGTAACAGAAACAAACATTGTCATAAAAACCGACACCAATTCCTTTTTTTCTTTATGACAGCCAATCTATGAAGCATGGGAAGCATCAGGGGGCTTTAGTAGCTCCAATTGGGGCAGAGTTGAGGGTCAAAGGCTTATCAGTGTGGTTTTAGTGGGACTGAAGTGGGGGCAGATCACGTTGGGATGGTGTTGCACTTTCGGTGAGATGAAACAGAATAGT